AGTCTTAGAGAAATATCTCCTGGAGTTAGTTACCCTCAGTTATTAAGAGGTGATAACAGCCCCAAGTGTTATTTTCTCCAAATAACAAATAGGCTGATTTTCAGCAGGCCCATTGAAGGCAGCTTAGTGGGGTGTCAAATAGCAGGGGGTAGAGCCCTAATGACCACCAAGGGCATGTCAAGCTACATAACTGTCCCTGTGATCATCCACCTCCAGCAGTGGATAAGGGAAGACACAGGAGGTGATCACAAGTTTTAGCTAAACTGCTAAAGGTACTCTATGTTTTGCAGGTGGCAGGATTAAAGTTTGAGCAGGTGCTCAAAGACTGAAGCGGAATGAATTCACTTCCCAACAACGCAACCAGTCTGAAAGCCAAACTCAAGAGAGTGAGGTTGTCCTAGTGACACAATTGTCTTTATGGAGTTATCCTTCAGCTGGGCTCAGACTGAGGGTGGGACAGAGTGATGGCATTAAAGCTGTTTTACTCTTTGATTAATCCTCAAAAAGTGCCTTGGAGCAAGATCCAGACACTGGCTATTTAGAGATCTATATACACAGGATAGAGCCCGAACCACCAGCAAGTACTATCTGGGTTAACCTGGAGTCAAGGCCATTCTACTGGTTCTCCTCCGTGCTTCTTTGTCACTGTTCACAGCTCGGTCAATTGACCTAGAGTTTGCACAGCTCAAATTGATTGGACCCCCTGTCCCCTTTTCCAAAACATGTGATAGGTTCCATAACCTAGAACAGCCGATATTAACCCTACAGCTGAGAAAACCAGGAGCAAGGAAAGGTAAGGATGAGGGTGGGGTAAATCCAGTATGGATGGAGTGGAAGGCTTGCAGGTGCATCAGTCAGACAGCTGGGATTTATGCAGGAGTTGGGAAGATTTATCCAGCTGGGGGAGGCTTCAGTCTAAAAAGGGAAATGAATAAATGTTACAGTAGCTTGGTGGTAGTTAGAAATATGAGGTGCGCAAATTGCCTTTTGGGATAAAAATCAAGGCATATGGTATGGGATGGAATCACACTCGGTGGAGGCAGAGGTAATAAGTGGCAAAGTGATGAATTACATTTTTGTTTATATTTCTATTCTCAGAACTCAGAGTTCATTTGAAGTTTCTTACCTGATCACACTGGCAGTCCACCATACGTGTCTGGTGGTCCCGCCTTTGATATGAAGTGTGACATTTGGGCAACAGGAAGACGTGCTGTTGGTGACATGGAGCCCAGGACAGCCTGGCGTCCTGCAGCTGTTCAGTGGGCGTCCGCAGTCTGACTGCCATGCAGAGCACCCACATTGGAACATATGGGAAACCCGAAAGTGAAAGGTTGGAGGATGATTTACCATTTTGAAGTATATGGAAAAGCAGTCGACCAAGTGGGGACACTGTCAGGACTCTGCTCTCTTCCCAGACACCCACATTCCTCACAGCATATGCAGAGGACACAGCCCCAGGAAGCAGAGTCCATCAGTCAGTTCTGCCCAAATGTTTCTAGAGATGTGGTGATAACATCAGAAGTAACTTCTTGAGAAAGAACTTTATCTAAGTGTGACAAGTTTCTTAATCTTCCTTTTATTTTTAATTTTAATTAAATTTTTATGGTTTGGGATTCATGGAGGGGTACAAAGAATTAGGACATACTGATTGTATTTGTTAGATAAAGTCCTTCTTATTACTGTGTCCTGTCCCCAAGATAAATTTCTTTTTTTAAAAGACAGTCTTGCTTTGTCATCCTGGATAGAGTGCATCATAGCAACCTCAAACTCCTGGGTTTAAGTGATCCTCTTACCTTATCCTTCTGAGTAACTGGGACCACATGCACCTGCCATTCTATTTTTAGTAGAGACAAGGTCTTGCTCTTGCTCGGGGTGGTCTTGAACTCCTGAGCTCAGGCGATCTACCTGCCTTGGCTTCTCAGAGTGCTAGGATTATAGGTATCAGCCACTGAGCCTATCCTTAATTTTCCTTTTACAAAATAAAACAAAACATAATTTTGATTCAGAACCAATATGAAGGAAGAGAGATAAGTATGTCCTGTTTAGTAAAATAATCCTAAAAGAGTGAGTCTTTCTCTGGAAGCAACGCAAAAGCAGGCCTAGTTTTCTAAGGTAGGTTAGGGCTATCCCATTATACAACTCAAACCAAGAAGAGCTGTTTTTTGGAAAGAGTTACTGTAAACGACATGTGGGTGCGAGTAGTCAAGTGGTCAAGTGTTTCTCAAACAACCAGAGGTTGTAGATGAGTGGATGGAGGTACCACCCTAGATGGAAGACTGTCGATTAACACGTACAGTTCTCTTGAAAGTTCATGGCCAAACCTTAAAGCAGAAGGCTAGAGATACACTTCCATTTGCTCATCATTTTTGATTGAAATCCTCATTATACACATTCAGCTTGAATGCCACAGATCTACTAGCAGGTTTGAAAGTATTAAGTGATGTTTGTGTGTTTACAATTCAGCAGATGTATTTTGCTTGCCTCTTAGATGAGGCTTCACAATGCTCTGGAGTAACATGTCCTACAAGATACGGGTTAGAAACCACCACCCTATAGTGGTCCTGTCCAAGGCAGCCTGGAGGAAACTCAACTGCTTATTCCCTCTAGAGGAATTCTAGAGTTCTAGAAGAACGTATGTTAGAAAAGAGAAAATTGGTTAGCGCAGCTATTTTCATTTTCTCTAAAGTTTCCCAGAGACCAGTTGTTGGAATGGGTGAGAAATGGCCAAGTGCCTTTGAGTTCTCCCTGGGAAAGAATTTTCAAAAGGGAGACAAAGGAAAAGACAAGAGAGAGGTCTGAGGATGGAAAGGCAGAGGAGGAAAAAGTATCCAATGTACACACCCCTATTATGAAACTAATTTA